AAAGAAAGAAAGAAAGAAAGAAAGAAAGAAAGAAAGAAAGAAAGAGGGAGGGAGGGAGGGAGGGAGGGAGGGAGGGAGGAAGGAAGGAAGGAAGGAAGGAAGGAAGGAAGGAAGGAAGGAAGGAAGGAAGGAAGGAAGGAACCAGAATTCCCCAGTCAGCATGACAACTTAGAAACCAGAGGGTTTTCAACCTTGGCAACCTGAAGATTTGTGGACTTCAACTCTGAGAATTCTCCAGCCAGCACTGAAACATAAGGATTCTTTCCTCTGAATTTCTAGAAATTCCATGTGTCATAAATATGGCTTCAGTGCTGGCTGGCTGGGGAATTCTGGGAGTTGAAGTCTGCACGAGGTTGAAAAACCTGAGCTCTTTCTTGCCCCAGGGAAACAGGGCCCTGGCCAGCATTTTTCCAAACTTTAAACAGTATTCATAACATTTAACACTTTTTTTTTTAAAGGCTTTTCTGCCCCCCAAAAAATCACTTTATGCAAATATTCTGATTTCCTTTCTCAGTAGATATCTCCAATCTCTGGCCAGGATGGACAACTACTCTTCAATCCCAGCTGCACAATGATATAGGTCCTGCCGGCTGAAGCATCTTAGCGTTCCTACTGTGAAATAAATCAGAGATATTTTCTAGAAGGAAACACTTTATTTTGGGTGTGTTTTTACAGGAGAACATCTGCCAGGATTCATTGGAGCTCAGCCAACCAAGGTGATGGTGGGAAGCCATGGGGGAGGTCTGATGGAGGTCTTCTCCTTCCAGAAATGGGAGTTCAGGCTGGTTAGATGTTTTGTCTCCTGGGCCTGAAACCCGCCATTTACACCCTGAGGTTGCCTGAGGATCTTCTCTGGGCTCATGGAGAAAGTTGGCAGCCGTGTTCTTAAGCCTTCCAAAATTTAGCTGCTGTGTGGTGCTTGGGCCAGGAGCTGGGTGCCAACTCTGCTTCAAATGGTACATTTATAAAAGTGGCTACAGAAATCTGATAAAGGATAAAATACGGGGTGAATCAAAAGTAGGATGCAGGTTGTTGTCAGAAGTTCAGGATCTGGGTGGTAGGGATTACACCAGAAAGACACTGGTTGTGGAGGCTTCTTCTGGGCCATGATGGGGATGGAAGTCCCTGGTTTCCTTAAAACTTGGGCCTGTTCCAGTATTGAGGCCTAGACCAGCGAAAATGTGTGGTGTGAGGAACAGCCGTGAACCTTCTCCTGGGCAGCCTGTAAATTATACTGGGCCCCTTGCCCCAGCCCACGAAGGCAGTAGTGGGAGTAGGCCACCGCGTTGTCAACGGGTAGAAGGTGAAGGGTGCAAATGTCCTCCGGGGACCTGTGTACCAGGGCCAGGTGGTGCGCCGGACCGCCGGTCTCCACTGGCGCGTTGGAAGGCTGTAGGTGTTGGCTTCGGGGAAGTACCCAACTAGCATCCCGTTGACTTTTTTGTAAATGGGGTCGAGGTAATAGGCTCCCGTGAAGCGGCTGGGGGGTGGAGGGGTGGGGGTGCGGGGGGTGGTTGGTCTGAATGGAGGAGAAAGGCCAGAGACGGGGGGGTTCGCCAGGATATCCTTGATCCAGGTGAGAAAGAACTGGGTGGAGGTGAAGACTCCGGGGACTTTGCCGGTCGAGCAGCTGGTGCCCCAGCTGTTAAGACCGATCAGCCAGTAGCGCTCGGTATGGGACTGCCTGCACATCAGGGGCCCACCGCCATCGCCCTGCAGGAAAGAGGAAGAAGACACACTGGTGAGGTAATTCCCCGTTAGGAGAATGAGCGCATACAGGGAGACGTATTTGAGAGTAGTGTTTGAATAATACACATACGCAGCACACAGATGCACTGTACAGTAAATGTAGGTTTTTACTTCCAGAAACGTTAAGCAAAGTTCAAAAACAAGCAGTCCAAAGTCATTCACAGGTAAATCAGTCAGTTTTTAGTCCAGGGATAATTCAATAACAAAGTCCAGTGTCAAAAACAGTTCAGTATCAGATTTATGTCAAATCCAGAATATCAGTCAATTAGGAAAAATGGAAGAACGGCAATACTCTCCAACAGAAGGAAACAGAGATTCACTGAGACACACTCTCTTCTGAGACTAAGATTAAGACAAGCCAGGTTTCTGGCTCCATCTTATGGCCGTTTGAGAAACCACACCCAATTACAGTTTTGCATTTTCTTAAAGATACAGTTTTAAAATGTCTATCCTGGTTTATATATTGTCCAACCCAAATAGCTGTTAGGTAACTATTCCTAACACACACATCATGTGATGCAGAGGCGGGATTCAGCCAGTTACGACGGGTTCTGCAGAACCGGTGGTGGAAATTTTGAGTAGTTTGGAGAACCGGCCAATCCCACCCCTGACTGGTCCCACCAATCCCATCTATTCTCCGCCTCCCATTGAGTCCCAGCTGATCGGCTGGGTCTTCTTTGGTTGCCCTTAACAGGAGAACAGAGCTGGAAAGCAGGTCAGTGGGGTGGGGATGGGAGGGGGATTTTGCAGTACATCCTTCCCCTGCCATGCCCACCAAGCCACGCCCAAAGAACCGGTAGTAAAAAAAAATTGAATCCCACCACTGGTGTGATGACACCGGGCATGTCACAGAGATAACACAGGCAGATGGCAGTTCAAACCGTCCCTTTGTTGTTCCAAATTTTCCCACGCTCCCAGAGCAAAGTGATCACACACACACACACACACACACACACACACACACCTCCAGCAGCCTCTGGCTGCAAGGAGTCCAGCCCAACACTGTGAGCACCACGGCTGCAAAGCAAGAAATCCAGAAAGAGTGCAAGGAATCCAGGAAAGTTCAAAGGTTGACACTCAACACTCCATGAATTCAGCATTTGTTCCCGACAAACGCCCTTCTCCTTAAGTCTCGGTCCCCAGGTGTGCCTTGTGAAGAGGGTCGGAGCGCTCTGCTCCCGAGTAGTTGGGTCAGACTGTGTTGTTCTCGCCTTCTCTCCACTCTCCATGCTCGAAGATCAGGAGGGAGCGGCCATTGCTCATCGCCTGAGTTCTGTCTCTTATATTTACTGTTTAGCCTCTCTTAGTCATTCCTATCCCACTTCCTTCCTGCCTACAAGACATCCCAATCCTGAAAGGCCCTGGCCCGACTCAACCTGCTCCTCCTCATTTTCCTCTGAAGCCAACGAAGCCGCCCCCTTGACCTTCCTCCACTGATTCAGGCTCTGACGGGGGCGTGAGACCTCACCGGGTGGTGTAGCATCCCTTCACCCACATGCACGCAAGTGCACAAGGCTGGAATCTCAGCCATCACTTTTACGCTGCTTTACAAATCCTTATAAACAGTGGACAAATGGCTGCCAAAGTTGATGGAGTTAGCAGAGAGGGCTAACTGGGCAGCTTTGTTGTGGTCACCCATTTGTGACCTCCCGACAGCTTCTCCCTGGACTTTGTTGTCAGCAATCAAGTTTGCAAATAGTGATCCCATGACCATGGGATCCTGCAGGTGTCATAATTGGGAGTCAATTGCCAAGCACCTGAATTGTGACCACACGATCCCAGGGATGCTATGATGGCCGCAGCCACGGGAACCAGTCATAAGTCCCCTTTGTTGTCTCCATCGCCCAAATCATGGTTGTCCAAAAGGCAACCGGACTGCCTTGGTTTTTCTTTGAAGACCTTTCACTTCTCATCCAAGAAGCTTCTTCGGTTCTAGATGAAGAATTAAGAACTGAAGTGAGAACTGAAGAAGCTTCTTGGATGAGAAGCGACATGTTTTCAAACAAAAAAAAAACACCCAAGTCTAGTTGCCTTTTTGGAAAAAGCATCTTTGGGAAAGTGTTCTGTTTTTTTTTTTTTCATTCATTCATTATTATATATTATAATTATATTATAATTATTCACTCAGCACCAGTGTAACTTCGAAGGGTTGCTGAACAATTAGTCTCTCTGCGACGCCTCTTGAATCCTGGAGAAGGCCAGGCGAGAGAACCTGAAGACCAGATCCGATGGAAAGAGATCTCTGCCCTCGGCCCACTTACCCGGCAGCTGCCCTTGGTGGGATCCTCAGAAACAGCACACAGGTGCTCCTCTTTAATGAGCGCAGAATACTGAGCAGACCTGTTGCACTCATCCCTGGCTACCAGCGACACTTCAGCCTCTTGCAAGATATCCGAATATTTGGCCCCCGAATATTTTCCTATGCAGGAGAAGTATTTTTTAAAAAAAAAAATATTATTTTTGGCTCATCTGGCTTCTGCCAATCACCCAACCTGAGAGAACTAGTGCCCCAAAGCAGTGGCGCACCTTTAAGGGGATGCATGCAAAGGTTCCTGAGGACAGGATTGGCCAAACTCTGGGTCAACTGTAGGACAAAGTTCTCCTTCCTGTACTCACAAGGACCCAGGATGCTAACAGAGAGGGGGGGTTTCCTTAAGGGGGACAGAGAGCCCCGTTTTTCCTGTCCCTGCCTCCTTTCTGATATTCCTGTGCTCAACCTCAGAACCACATCACTTTTAATATTTTCCAAAACCATGGTGTGGTGCCTTCAAGAGCTCCTGACCAATGGCTGGGTGACTCTCAGTCTTTCCTCCAAGCCTGACAAAGTTTTTGGGAACCGAACGCGGTGGGTGCCAAGAGCCCCAAAGTTCATAGGGACGGGGTAAGGGATGGGTGGGGTTTATGTATCAATCTATTTAATTTGGGGAGGTTCTCACTCTCCATGACTGTGATGCCCCAGCCACAGATATAGCAGTGGGTGAGCAAGTCTATGACCAGATCTCCCTCCGGCAAGCAGGCGGGCTGGACATAATCGTTGCAAACCACGGGCTTGTCCAGCTCTACCAAGGCAATGTTATTCAAATGTTTCTCCTTGTTGTATTGTTTGTGGTCCACCAGCCTCTTGATGACACGGTTCTGGGCATCAGGTCCAGGTTTGGAGCGCTGGGTGGCCCCAATCTGCACTCTGAAATACTCCACTTTCAGGTACCTGAGTGAAAGGGGAGACAGGAGAACATGTTAGATAAGACGAGGTCAAATGGGAAGAGGTCCAACGATGTCTCGGAAGGGGAAGGCAACTGCCAGGATCTTGACCTCGCCATACAATTCCCACATGAGCCCTTGCAATCTAGGAGCTTGGGATGCCAACAGGGAAGGAGGAGGAACAGCAAGAGAACTTCAGGCTTGGCTGAAAGAAGGGACCCTTCCTCCTCCTCCTCCTCTGAGAAAAACAGCAATCATCTACCTGCCAAGGTGATCGCGTAGCCTCTCATTCATTACCTGCTGGATGGAAGAAGCCCCTTACTGCTTAATAATAAGATTATTTCTTAGGCCGAGGGGAGTGAGCGACAAGCATAAGTGTTGTGGCCTGTTGGGCGCCAGCCCTTCCAGCAGCTGAATCGGAGGAGGAGGAGGAGGAGGAGGAGGAGGCGTGGGAATCAGGGCCAACATCCAGCAACCTGAGAACTCAGGTGGGGGGGAAGAAGGAATGGAGCTGTCAGTGATAGAGGCAGAGACCATCGTCTGTCAGCCCTCAGATGGAAAGTCAACAGCCCCCAGGAGGTGGCTGATGAGGAAGAGGAGGAACAGCTGGGTCCAGTGCCTAACATGCAGATGCACAGAAGGCAGAGGAGAGGAGAGCAGTGGAAATCTATGGGCCGGTCCTCGGGCCGGAAGAGCCACCGCTGCTAGCAAAGCCCCACCCTAGCTCTGGGGATAAAAGGCAGGGGGCGGAGATGAATAGGTGTGGCAGATAATTATTCACCTCCTGGATGGACAGACTTGGTAGTCTGCGGTGAAGGAGAAACCTTTTTTGCTAGGGCTTCTGACATGCCTAACAAAGGGAACATTTATTTAACCACAGAGGGTTTGCCGTGGTTGGGAACTGGGTCCAAACAGTAAGAAAGCCCCCAGACTCAAAAGAAGTCAAAGTCTTTTTAAAAAGCCCCAGAAAATCAAGCAATAATAATGGTGAGTCTAGGCTGAAATGCCAAAAGGACACCATGAAAAGACATGTGGTAGAAGACCTCCACGGTCCCCTATTGTTCTATGTTCTGACTGAAAAGGGATTTCCTGGAGGTATCTGCAGACTTCTGTGGCTCACTTTTCTCTAGAAATTTGAATGTTCCTACACCTCTTCCTCTTGAAGAAGAGTCCTTAAGATATTCTGAGTAGAATCTGGTTTAAAGTTGGAAGCATGCAACTTTCTAGCGATGGTTGCATTGTGTTAACCATACTTCTAGTGCTGAATGCTTAGAATGGGGGCATCCAGAGATCAAGTGTTATGGAGAGGGTCATGTCTCACAGAAAGTGGAAGTAGGTTGGATCTCTCCTTGATAAGATAGTTGACGCAATACAATTTATCTTAAAGGTCAACTGGGCCAGTCTGGAAGAAGGCAAGTGTCAACCCATAAAACATTTCTATGCCTGCTTTAGAGTTGCCACAAACAGAAGTGCAGAGGGGGAAAGAAATTTGAAATACCATTGCAGCAGTTTGGAACAGAAAGTGCATTCCATTCTTATCTTGCAAAGATTATAACTAAGCAACCGAAATTCTGCCAAGCAAATCCCTAATTGGAGAATGTGATTGATAACTCTTGGCTATGGACATGTTTTGTTGGAGAATATGAATTATGACACACCCAAAGGGGTGGGGGGAAAACAGGGTCAAGGGTGACAGTGAATTACATGTCTCAGAATTGGCTTCAAACAGGTCATGCCGACATGTTTGTTCCTAATAAATCCTTCGAAGTTTTTGAAGCTTGGCTCGAGGCTCCTGATTTAATGAGGGCAACAGCCGGAATCCTGGCAGCAAGGCCAAGAAGGTGCAAATTAAGTCCAACAAATAAAAAGAGCCATCCACTCCATCCCTCTTTAATATGAAACCATCTCAACAAGAAACTTCTCAACCTTGGCAACCAGAAGACATGTGGACTTCAGCTTCCAGAATTCCCCAGCTACTACAACAACTTCTGAAGCAGGAAGTTCTCAACCTTGGCAAATTGAAGAAATGCGGACTCCAGCTTGGCTGACTGCCGAATGCTGGGAGTTGGAGTCCGCACATTTCTTCAAGTTTCTAAGAGTTGAGAAAACTTGTCCCAGAGACACTGGTCCCCATTTCTGATCTTGGGACCACCCCCACCCCGGACCTCCTGCCCTCTGCTTGATTTGGTGATTTGGGTGTTTTGGGTTTCACTCACTTTTGAATGAGGAAGCATTGCGCCGTCGAAATGACCCAGCGAGAATTGATCAAGGAGCCGGCACAGAAATGGCGGTATCCCTCCCGGGTGGGGAACTGGAAGCTGACCGCCCAGGGCCACGTTCCTGGCAGGGAATCAACCCCACCCACGATCCGCAACATGCCATGGCTCATGGCTAGTGGACGGCCACCACACACCCTCCTGCAAAGAAAGATGGGGGTGGGGATGATTGGTTGAACGTATGGCCTCCACAGAGGCCCTGCAGTCACAGATACACAAGACCAATAAAACACATTATACATCCAAGCACAAATAATACACAAGGCTAAGCCCAGGTAGTCCGTGACTTGCAACAGTTCACTTGGTGACCATTTGAAGTTACAATGGCACTGAAAAAAGTGGCTTAAGTTTTCACACTTATGACCACTGCAGCATCCCCCATGGGTCACGCGATCGGAATTTAGATGCTTGGCAACTGACTCGTATTTATGATGGTTGCATATTTATGAGGATTACATGGTCCCTTTTTACGACCTTCTGACAAGCGAAGTCCACGGGGAAGCCAGATTCACTTAACAGCCATCCAATTCAATTAACAACTGTAGCGATTCACTTAACAACCATGGCAAGAAGTGGGGTAAAATGGAACAAATCCACTTAACAAATGTTTCCCTTAGCAGCAGAGATTTTGGGCTCAATTGTGGTCGTAAGTTAAGGACTACCTGCAGAGCATCAGCAAATACACACACACACACACACACACGGATGTATGAAACCAGCTGGGAAGGCAATTGAACTAAGATTGCAAGGTGTCTATGGAGATTCTCCATCACGCAAGTCATGGCTGTCCCAAAAGGTGCTTCCTCCAAAAGACAACTGGACTTTGTTGGGTTTGTTGGTTTGTTTCTTTGAAAACGTTCAGCTTCTCACCCAGAAGCTCCTTTCACCAAGATGTTCTTCTCAGAAGAAACTTCTGAGGGAGGAAGTTTTCTATTAGAATAGAATAACAGAGTTGGAAGGGACCTCCGAGGTCTTCTAGTCCAACCCCCTGCTCAGGCAGGAAACCCTACACCATATTGTTTCCAATGGTCATCCAATCTCTTCTTGAAAACCTCCAGTGATGGAGCATCCACAACTTCTGGAGGGAAGCTGTTGCACTGATGAATTGTTCTCATCATCTGGAGATTCCTCCTTCCTTCTAGGTTGCTTCTCTCTTTGATCGGTTTCCCCCCATTGCTTCTTGTCCTGCTGCCCTCAGGGGCTTTGGAGAATAGTTGGGCTCCCTCTGCTCTGGAGCAGCCCCTGAGATATTGGAAGGCTGCTATCATCTCATCCCTAGTCCTTCTTTTCATCGGGCTAGACATACCCAATCCAGCAACTGTCCTTCCTATGTTTTAGGTTAAGCCTCCAGTCCACTAATCACCTTTGTTACTCTTCTCAAGAATGGTAGAAAGAAATATAAAAGATTCCCCACCCGCCAGTCTTTTCCGCCTCTTCCTCCTCCTCCAGGGTCCAACCATGGCAGTCTGAAATTTTCTGGGACAACCCCCAGCAGGACCTCAAGGTCACACCTCCCCACTGTTGCTTTCTCTACCCATCTCCAACAACCATCCAGCACACTCCGGCTGAAGTATGGAGGCCCCAGGGCACCAGGACAACCCAATGTTCCCAGTAGAGTGGCCCCTTCCAGCTGTGGCCCTCACTCACGTGCAGGTGTCCTCTGCATCATCGTAGATTAAGCAGAGCGCATCAACTGCCCAAAGGAGCAGCAGCAGCTTCTTCATCCTACATCGCTCAACAAATGTCAGGTCCCACCTTCTTTCCCATGGCTCGTGACGTCACAAACTGTCCTTTCAGTCCCCGGCCAATCAGCCAACAGACAATATGACATCACACTGAAGAACCACAATTCTTTGCTGCCGTTGGCTTTAAAAGGGTTAATGGCGGGGTCCCAGTTTGGGCATCAGGGCGTGGCCTTCAAAGCAACTCAACCTTGCTTAGGAACCCAACCCATGACACGTGGGTGCAGAGAGGGATCCAGAACGCTAACTGTCTTGCTGGGTCAGCAACAACAGGAGGCCCGAGCAAGCAACAAGCTGTGAAGGAAATGGAGGCATGGAAGATGCTTTTGTACACGTGGGATAGGCAAGCAATTGTGGTTTTGCAGTCATCTACAAGTGTATTTTGCTAGGACGTCGTTTGCATCATTCTGCCCATCAGAATAACACAATAACAAGTTGGAAGGGACCTTGAGGGTCTTCTAATCCAACCCCCTGCTCAAGCAGGAGACCTTAGAGCATTCCAGACTAATGGCTGCCCAATCTCTTCTTAAAAACTTCCAACGTTAGAGCACCCACAACTTTTGGAGTCAAGCTGTTCCACCGGTTGATCGTTCTCACTGTCAGAAACTTTCTCCTTAGTTCTAGGTTGCTTGTCTCCTTGGTTAGTTTCTATCTGTTGGTTCTTCTAGTGCTGGGTTCTCTTTTGACAAATGAAAAGAAGGTCTGCTTATCTGTGGTTTGTTCTGGGAAAGCTTCGAAGAACTGCTTCTCAACCCTGGCATCCTGAAGTCCACACATCTTCAAGTTGCCAACATTGAGAAACACTGATGTAAGGAAATTGGTTGTGTGCAGCCAGTTTTGCCTTCTCCTCACCTACTTTCAGTAAGAACAATACCAGAGCTTCAATTTCTGCCAATTGAAGCCAAGTCCTGCCACTCAGGCTACTGAGAGAGGGACTTGCAAAGTCTTCCAACCCAAGCTTGCTGCCTCTAATGTTCTCCAGATGCAGGTGATACAGTATCCATGCCCCATAAGCTGCTATTCTTTGGGGCAGGGGTCTCCAACCTTGGCAACTTTAAGACTTGTGGACTTCAAATCCCAGAATTCCTCATCCAGCATAGCTGGTGGTTTCTTGCAGACGTTTCATGACCCAATTTGGGAACATCATCAATGCTAGAAAGGAAGAGGGCCTGTGGAGAGGAGGAGGAGGAGGAGGAGGAGGTCATCTGTGAGATCCTTGGTGGTCTCTGAGCTTGGTGGTTTTCTTGCAGATGTTTCATGACCAGGTAACATCATCAATGCTATCCTCATCAATATCGTTGATATGACTTAGTTGGGTCATGAAATGTCTGCAAGAAAAACAACCAAGTTTAGAGAGCACCAAGGATCTCGTGGATAATTTGCTGAAGGGATTATGGAGGAGAAATATAATAGCAGTCTACAAATATCTAAAAGGGTCTCCTGTGCAAGAGGACATCTCCTCTGTTGAGAAGGACAATGTATCCTCCATCATCTCCATACCATCAACGTTCACCCACCTTCTCATTGGCTTCGACTTTGTCAGGAGGAGGAAAACGGAAATTCCTTTCTCATTCCTCTAATCCGTGTTGGCACCATTTTTTTACATATGTCTGAAGAGGTTTAATTTCCCAGTGTATAATTCCAGACCACAAACATCTGATATATATTTTTTATTTCAACGTATACTTTAAAGAACCAAGTATAAATAAAGTCCTATGAGAAATTCCAAGGAAAGTTAGTGACAGGAAGGCAAAGTGCATGTTGCAAGGTTGCCTAACTTCAACCAGGAACCTTGGAAAGAACAAGGAGTTGGGATTGGGGATCCCAATGGAAGAAGTTGGTTTATGGCCAAATAAGGATGGGGACCAGGCCATCACCACTGGAGTCTCTTCCTTCCTGTTCTCTTCTCTCTTGCTTCTCTTAAAGATATCTACCCCCTTTCTGGTCCACTGGGGGGCAAGAGCATACGAGACTGACTGCCAGATTGGGCAAAACCTGGATTCCAGTTGTGAGAGACATGATGACCAGGGGGTGATATTTTTTGGTTTGGTTGCAGTTGTAATTGACGTGAGGCCCAAGTCACCCGAAACCTCCCAGGAGCCCTTGTCCTATAATGCCACTTTCTGGGAGTTGTCCTCAAAGGTAGTGTCATCCCCCATAGGGCAGGCCCTGTCCAGGGACGATGAGTAGCATGGGTTCTTCTCCACGAAGGAGTCATGGTTCCCCACTTCGGTGGTCTTGCCCCAGGAAGTAAGTACCATGGTGTGGCAGGCATGAAGTACCACCGTGAGGGCTTCCACCTAGGAGGAGGCCTGGCAGCGGGTGTGAACCGAGGGAAAGGTGGAGGCCTGGGACCAACTGTGAACCTAGAGGACGGTGGAGGCCTGTACCCAGGTGTGAACCTAGGGTAAGGCCTAAATCCAGGTACGTACTGAGGGGGAAGCCTGGGCCTTGAGGTGAACTGAGAAGAAGGTGGAACCATGGGACCAGGTGTGAGTGAAGGGAAAGTTGGAGGCCTAGGTGTGGGGAGGGGCTTAGGATACTTCCACATCACGTTTTTGGTGGTGGCTTGGATCGGGGATGTTGGCTTGGCAGGAGGCCAAACCTCAGCCAGTATTGGCTTGTGAGTAGCCTTGTAAATATTCTCCTTGGTCGTGGCTGTGATCCAGTCAACATAGAGTTGTGTGGAGGTGAAGACACCTGGCTTCCGAGCTTCAGAACATCTCACTGGTCCCCAGCTGGTGACTCCGATGACCCAGTACCTCTCAGACCTTTCTTCCCTACACATGAGAGGCCCTCCGCTGTCACCCTAGAGGAAGAAAGAGAAAACATTCAAAATTAGAAGCATGCTCCAGAAGAAAGGCCTAACATCGACGATGATCCTCACTCTGTCAAGGACCTTGGAGTACTCATATCAAATGACCTAAGCGCCAGAGCTCACTGCAACAGCATTGCCAAAAAGGCTTTAAGAGCTGTAAATCTAATTTCACGAAGCTTCTCCTCTGGAAATATTGAATTGCTAACTAGAGCATACATTGCTAGACCAATACTCGAATACAGCTCATCTGTCTGGAATCCGCACTGTATATTGGGCATTAGTACCATTGAGCGAGTGCACAAGTATTTCATGAGAAGAGTCCTCCACTCCTCTACTCGCAACAGAATACCCTACACCACCAGGCTTGAGATTTTGGGCTTGGACAACCTTGAACTACGCCGCCTACGGTTGGACTTAAGCGTAGAACACAAAATTATCTGCTACAATGTCCTACCAGTCAATGACTACTTCAGCTTCAACTGCAACAATACAAGAGCACACAACAGATACAAACTCAATGTAAACCGCTCCAAACTTGATTGCAGAAAGTAAGACTTCAGCAAGAGTGGTCATTGCCTGGAATGCATTACTGACTCTGTTGTTACATCCTCTAACCGCCCATTCCTTTAACCTTAAACTATCCACTATTGACCTCACCCCATTCCTAAGAGGCCTGTAAGGGGCGTGCATAAGTGCACCATCGTGCCTCCCATCCCTGTCCTATTGTCCCCAATTATTAGTTCCTATTTCTTGTATTCTTACTCATGTTTATACTTATACCCATTATCTTGTAAGCGATTGACAAATCAAATAAATAAGTAAAATAAATAAATAAATATTCCAGAGGCCAACCTTTGGAACTCTATTCAAGTCACTGAAGGACACTGGGCCCAACTAAGTGACCAGCCTAGATCCACCTACCTGACATGTACTAAGTTCTCCACTCTCGTGTCCAGCACATATGTTCTCAGGTCGGACACGCTTGTTCCACCAGGTCAAGCTGCTGCATGTGCGGAAAGGTATGAGTTTAACAACCCCCTCCTGCATCACATCTGGCCGTCTTTGGGCTGTGAAGAGAAGCCAGAAGAAATCACCAGCCTGCATTTGTCCCAAGCCCAAGGGCTCATGGGATGGAACCCTCTCTTCCGTGGAGAACCAGAACCACAGAATAACAGTGGCAGCTGAATGGATACTTTCTGGACGCCTTACAAATGGAGCTGGAAGGGACCTTGGAGGTCTTCTAGTCCAGCCCCCTGTTAAGCAGGAGACTGTATACCAATTGAAACAAATGGTTGTCCTATCCCTTCTTAAAAACCTCCAGCGTTGGAACACCCATAACTTCTTCAGGCAAGCCATTCTATTGATTAATTGTTCTTGGTTGTTCTGGGTTGGTTCTCTCCTTCATTAGTTTCCATCTGTTGCTTCTTGTCCTGCCTTCAGGTGCTCTAGAACAGGGGTCTCCAACCTTGGCCACTTTAAGACTTGTGGACTTCAACTCTCAGAGTTCCTCAGCCAACAAAGCTGGTTGAAGAACTCTGGGAGTTGAAGTCCACAAGTCTTAAAGTGGCCCAGGTTGGAGACCCCTGTTCTAGAGAATAGGTTGACCCCCTCTTCTTTGTGGCATTAGGACCACGAATTCAGGAACTCAACTCTAGAACCTAGGAATCCAGAGTTTCCCACCAGGAAGTCAAGAACATGTGCTGGAAGAGGGCAAGTGGACACCACTTCCATATTATGGTCAAGAGAATGATTTGGTTTGTCTGGGCAACTAGGTCAATTCCTGGCCATCTTTGCCTGAGACGCCTCTTCTCCTAAGGCTCTTTTAAGTGACGTCAGCTACAACTCTTTGCACACAGATGCAGAGTTAGGATGCTCCTCTCTCGTGTGCCTCTCTCGAAGCTTGCTTGACTTGAGCTATTTCTTCCATCTTAATACATATTTAATACACAGGCAGGACAAGAAGCAACGGGTGGAATGGCTTCCGGTTTGAGTCTCTTCGGGGACAGACCGAAATCCGTGATCATGCGTGGTTTCTATCTGTGCTCGCTGCCGGAGTACCCCGAGCTGGCTGGTTTTGGGGCTAAGCCACCCCGTAGAGGTGGTGAAGAGGGGGGAGACTGCCAGCAGGGTCGAGGAGAGCCGCATCTCTCTTCCCCAGCTGGACATTACTCCCTTTCCCGAAGGTGGTTGCAGCGGTGGTCAGAAATGGCCACCTCAAAGAAGAACTAAACCGAAAAAGAATGTACAGGAGGAAGATAAGAAGAGAAAGTTTTGGTCGACCAGGTTAAACTGAAAAAGCAACAACGTAAGGTACCCTGGAATTTAAAATAAATACCATTGTTCCCAAAGAAGATTTTGAAGCAGCGAAGGAGAGAAAAAAGGAAAAGGATTAGGGTTTTTTTTCTCTTCCCTTTCATATACTGACAGCTAAGAGACTTAAGCAAGAAATTGGAAAAAAAAATCCACTTTGACATTAATAGGCATTTAAGCTGAAAATAAAAGTCAAAGGGATAATAAAGATTTCTGAATATTTAAAAAATTTTAAAAGCAGGAAAGGAGAAAAAAAAGAATAAAAGGGTAGGATCTGGAAAAATGGAGGAGACTGCCTGGAACTAAGGAATGGAACTGTAACTAAAAGGAACTTACAATGAAACTTTAACAAGATTCCCCAAAGATACATTCTAACTGAAATTTGGCAACAAAATAATAGAACCCTAGGAAGAGAAAGTGCAAAAAAGAAGCAAGAAGAAACAGCCTTGGATTATTTGGATTACTTGATGATTTTTGGTTTTTGCATCTAAATGACTAAAATTAACCGGGTGGTTGTTTAAAAGTTTTTAAAATGGTATCACTCTTAGAAGAACTGAAAATGGAACTTTAAAAATGGAAAGAAGATGCACAAGAAGGGAGAAGTTCTTTTGGCTTCATATTTCAATTCTTAGAAATGGAGATCTGGAACTATGAGAACAAGAAACGCTTGCAGAACAAGAAGATCGGGACAAAGAAGAAGCCATCTTTAATGACCAAATAATTTTAAGTGGGGGAAAAAAAGGAAAGGGGAGGAAAAGAGTGAAGGGTTTAAGACTAGAAAAAGCAACCAAAAAGAAGAAGAGTTTGAAAGATAAGTATAATATTAGAAAGCAACAGAAGAGGGGATTACAGATGAGAGAATTAGAAATAGAGACACGAGGTGGTAAAAAGGGGAGGGGGAAGAAGAGGGGGAAGAAGGTAAGGAAAAGAAGTTGTAAAAGACAGAAACAAGATATAGAAAAACAGGGAAAAGATATAAGGATTGAAACCATAAGCCTGTTTAGAGATAATGGGTGAAAATTTAATTGTAAAAGGGATTCTGCAAAGGTACATAAGATAGCATTGTTATATTACAAATAGAAATAATTTTAGAAAATATGACTAAAATGATGGATAAAATATTCACTGTAATGTAGTGGAATTTTTGTTAAGAAATAAATGAATTAAAGTGAATGAGATAATTAAATTAGGAAAGGATGGAAACATTTTAATTATTATTAATGATTTATAAAAATATAAGTGAGAAATATGGAGGGGGGGAGAATTAATTATGGAAAGTTTATAAGTGTTCCCAAGGAAGTATGATATTTAATTGAAATGAAATGTTAAAGATGTTAAGATTTTAATGAATATTAATGATAGAATTGAATTGGAATGGAATGTGTGTTTATTTACATATATATATAATCTTTTCTTTTTAAGAATATAGTGTGTATTTTAAGAATGTACCAAGCAGAATTCGATTGGAAGTTATGTATTATATTGAATGCTATAATTTTAAAGGTATACATTGAAGCTTAAATAAGAGTTTGAATGGATAAAATTAAAAGATATAAAGGTGTCATACTCCAATTAGTAACTACAGGGGAAATTTTGTTTAATGAGAAAAGACAATATGAAATTGCAACAGGACAGACAAAAGTATAAATATAATGATTTGAATTGAGATGAGATAATTAAAATAAAGTTGAGAAAATTAAAAGAGGGGGAAAACTATGCAGAAAATATAAAACAGTAATAAGATATGGAATAGAACATAAAAATGAGCATGAAATTGAGCTTGTGTCTGTATGAAGAAGTGATATCCTGGGACCATGCTATTTTCATTTTATTTGTATTTTGTTTTTGTGAAAACCCAAATAAAATTTTCAAAAAAAAAAAAAGAAGAAGAAGAAGAAGAAGCAAAGGGTGGAAAATGTTCAAGGAGAGAACCAACCTAGAACAAAGGATGAATTTCCTGAGAGCGAGAACAATCAACTGGTGGAACGGATTGCCTTGAGAAGTTGAGGGTGCCTCATCCCTGGAGGTTTGGAAGAAGAGATTGGACAACCCTTTGTCCGAAATGGCCTAGGTCTCCCGCTAGGTCAGAGTGTTGGTCTAGTCCAGGGGTCGCCAACCTTTGGGACCTCAGGGACCACCAAACTTATCATTTTAAATCCCTTGGACCAGAGACCCTGGGAAAATCCCCCAAAAAGTCTTCAGGAAAATTCCCCACCCCGTTTTCCTACCGGTTGATCATTCTTTATTTGGGATCGCAGGATACCGTCTCCAGCTCCATTCTCAGGGGGAGAGAGACAGAGAGAGACTTTTGGCTTCATGCAAGGAAAGCAGCAGAAGCAGCAGAAGTCTTTCTTTCTCTCCCACAAACTCCGCCAGAAATGAGTCTTTGCCGGCACAGCCTCTTGGAGCAGGAGGCCTCGCAGGGTCCCAAAGACTCATTTCTGGTGGAGTTTGGGGGAGAGAAAGAAAGACTTTGGCTGCTTTCCTTGTGTGAAGCCAAAAGCAGAAGAAGAAAGAAGCAGAAAGAAGCAGCCCGGTGGCCAGGCCAGGCACATGGGACGAGTGGGGCAAGTTCCCCCCCTCTGCCCTTTCCCCCCTCCCTTCACTACCTCGTGTTGTTCACAATGCAAGCAACCAAGCCTTGTGTTCCCGTGGGCCATGTGGGTGGGACAGCCTTGTGTTCCTGCGCAGCCTGGATTAATTGCTTTGGGGGGGGACATTTCTCTGCAGACCACCCAAATTTTCTCACGGACCAGCAGTGGTCCCTGGCCAACTGGTTGCTGACCACTGGACTAGATGACCTCCAAGATCCCCTCTGCTATTCTGTTATTTCCCCTGCCTTCTCCAGTGGGGAGACCATTTCAGGGCCTTCACACCTTGTTTTCATTATTTTCAAGCAGGAGAAAATAATGCACAGTTACGACCAGCCTCTGCTCCACTGTGGGACGCTGCTCCATGTTGGAGTTGCCGGAGACCCATCGACTCTAACCCCCCTGAGCTAAGCCACCCTTTTAAGGGCCCCCTTCCCCCCCCAAGTCTCTCACCTTTGACTTCCATGGTTCCCCAGCCACTGATAGAGCATTGGGTCAGCTTTGAGATCGTCGTGCTCTTGTCTGGCAAACAAGCTGGCTGGATGTAGTCATTGCACCTGACCGGCTCAGTCAATTCCACCAAGGAAATGTCGTGTCGGATCCCTCCGTCTGTGCTGTTGAGCTCGTTCTTGTATAGCTTGTGGTTGATCACCCTCTTGATTAAGCGGTTCTGGGCATCAGGACCAGGTTGGGAGATCCGGTTTAGCCCAAGCACCACCCTGTACCATGATATCTCACTGGAACAAAGCACAGATCCATTCAACAGGTCTGCCGAGGGCACTGGACACAGGGCAGGAGGCTCTGCTGCTAAGGACAACAGAAACAGAAAATCTGGACAGCCCTCCCTTCCTCCCTCCCTTCCCTCCCTCCCCCCAACCCTCCCAACCTTCTTTCTTTCTTCCCTTCCTTCCTTCTTTCCCTGCCTCCCTCTCTTTCCTTCCTTTCCTCCTTCCATCCCTCCCTCCCTTGTTTCTTTCCTTCTCTCTCTCCTTCCCTGCCTTCTTCTCCTTCCTTCCCTCCCTCCCCCATATCTCTCCTTCCCTGTCTTCCTCTCTTTCCTTCCCCATCTCCTTCTCCTTCCTTCCTTCCTTCCCTTCTTTTCTCCCTTCCTTCCTTCATTTAAACTAATGTAAAAGGAGAGAGACACTGAAGATAAGAGTGTAGCTTTTATAAGGAAACATTTGAGCATGAAAGAGAAAAAGAGGGGAGGAGGGAGGGAAGGGAGGGAGAAACGAAGGAAGGAAGGAAGGAAGGAAGGAAGGAAAGAAAGAAAGAAA